CTCAGTCATCTCCTCCCCTAAGAATTCAAGTTCTGAGGAGGAGCTTCTCCTGGCCAAGGACAGGTTGTAATGAGAAGTCTGCTGTGGCTCCTATGTGTTAGATGGGCCGGCTAAGTCCTGATCAGCCTCCTGCATCTCTCTCTCTGCTTCAGTCTCCTCTGACTGAGATGATCCGTCTGACTCTGGATCAGCCTCCTGCATCTCTCTCTGAGATTTTACATATCACCTTTCTCAAACTCTCATTAATTAGCCTACATTATTTATCAAAAAGTTATATAACCTTTGACCTCTGACCCCGGAATGTCATCAGAAAGCCCTCTATGCATAATGTCACCTTGTCACCTTTACCCAATTACTCACTATTTCTGAATTTGGCAGATGGTAAGACTTATCTTGGTAAGACTAGACTTATCTTGCCGCCGGGGCGGCAGGTAGCTTAGTGGTTAAGAGCGTAGTGCCAGTAACCGAAAGGTAGCTGGTTCTAATCTCCGAGCCGACTAGGTGAAAAATCTGTCGATGTGCCCTTGAGCAAGGCACTTAACCCTAATTGCTCCTGTAAGTCGCTCTGGATAAGAGCGTCTGCTAAATGACTAAAATGTAAATGTAAATGTTTAATATAAAAAATATACATCTCTATAAAAAAAAATCAGAAAAACAAAGCCTTGTCACCTTTACCCAATTACTCACTATTTCTGAATTTGGCAGATGGTAAGACTTATCTTGCCTTTCAAAAAAAAAATATATAAAAAATATACATCTCATATACAAAATCAACAATGAAAACAACATTTACCAGACTAGACCACTAAGCGTCACACACTATTCCAGTCAAATCAATTCTGCCTCTTAAAAATCGTGCCTTTGCCTCAGAACAGCCTTGTCGTGAGTTGTCACACAATAATTATCGGGTTCTCAGGCATTATTGCTTAAATGACAACAACAGATACTAACCAGACTAGACACTATTCCAGTCAAATCAATTCTGCCTCATAAAAAATAAAAATCGGTCACCACAAGCAGACTTCATCCAAAATATGTAAAGGAAAATTGTTTCAAAGTGTGTTTGTAAAATGTGAGGCTCTGATATATATTTACACCTACGTCTATTTCTTTGATAAAAAAACAAACAAACATGCACACCCATTTGAAAACCCACCCACCCTTTGCAACAGATACCATTTCGGTTAGTCTGCTGATATCAACCTTTGGTGTTGTATGCTATATAATTTGCACTTCCCATTGTCTAGACTCGAATATTTGACAGCACATGTCGATATCACCATTAACTGTTGTGTGGCGCTAGAATACACAAAAGAACATGGGTGATTAAAACGCAGGCAACATGTCAATCAATTCTCGACCTCATCCAAGCCCCACCCATTCACTGGGCAGCCTTTATAAACAAGCTCTCATCATCATCTCATCCTTACTGATTGTTTTTCTGTCCTTAACGGTTCTCTTCCGGGTCTTCTGTCAGTCTCAACATCGTAACTTTGAAGGTATGCTGCTTGAATGGTGGTGTTACAACTCCCTTCATTTTGCATTAAATCATAGCATTGTGTTTTACGCGTCTATCATTGTCGTTATATTAATTTCATGTTTTTAGGAAGTTGGTGGATCAGTATCGCTAGTGTTTTGCCTTTCGCATTGACTAGCTAGTTAGCATGCCACGTAACGGCGTGGTGTTTCGCCCGTTTATACCTAACTAACGTTAGCTAGTTAATTGACATGCATTGAGTGACTCTTTTTAAAAGTTAAGTCCCATCCTAATAGTAAATCAATGACTTGGAGTAGTTATAGCATGCTTAACGTTGAGTTAGTTGACTGAAAATGTAACGCGGTAACACCGGGGCTGTGCACTTCAGTTTCCCGGACGTGACTGGCTTGCGGGGTGACATCTGCTGATTCACATGGCTAACTAGTTGAGCCTTGCGGGTTAACGTAAGCCTATTATTTGGCCCTTTCGTGTTACTATAAGCTCAGTTGTAGGTGGCAAGTACTTGACTTTAATCTACTTGAAATGTATTTCGATTAACGACCGTGGAAAGCCGGGCCATGTGGCACCTGATCTGTCCCAAATATGGCCGCTTGCTTTCAACAATGGGATGTGCTCAAGTTCATGGCGTTAACGTCCTTAGCTCGAATTTGAAAGTTATATTAATGCTGTCGAACACTCGGATCTGTATTAAATCGGGACGTAGCCAGTTAACTAGCTACTTTTCGTGGTTTGTCATTCAAACGGTGGGAGAATTTAACAATCGGTCCATCGCGATGTAAAAATGCTAACTAATGTATTGCCAAGCTTGCGAATCTGTGCACAATTCGTCTGGTTCCGGCGCAGGGTGTGGTTGTGATTTGATTAGATGACTGTCGTTTAGTTTTTTTAAATGCTGTTAAGTCGGTGTAGGTTTTTAAATATTACTATTTTAAAAAGTCCAATGAAATTACGTTTGCAGCAGACAGTTTAACACTGCTGCAGCATCTGGTTGCAGTTCAGTGTAGTGAACTGTACTTTCTTAGATCTAAACATAACTATACTAAAGCCATGAGTTCACTTTGTACAACAGTAACTAAGCTACAGTACCAGTAAAAAAATGTCTCGTTTGCCCATGTATGAAACATCAGTTGCGCATTGGCAACGAAAGCAAATTGTTCATACTAAATACCCCATAGGCATGGAATGGCATGTGGGATACTTTCCGCAGGATTGGTGATAAGAATAGAATTGTGCTGTCCTTGCCCACTTTCCACTAGCCACAGTACATCTGTTCACTCCATAGCAGTCTAGGTGACATTGAAGAGCTGTCACTGGCAGTAATTGGTCAAGGTTGGCAGAGTGGCATGGCTTACTCCAGCTATTCACAATTCTAGGGATTGTTCAACATTTTTCATTAAGGCTTTGCGCACC